TATGGGTATTCTAGAGCCTCAGACTCTAGATTCTAGATATTTCCATTCGAATCTGGGTCAAAGCATTTCAGGATTTTTCTTTGGCAGTTTGTCCTAGACGTATCAGGCTGCCACCATTGTGGGCTTGGCCGAACCCATGATAGGTGCCTAAAGAGGCACTCTTAGTACCACAAAGAAATGCATCTTAGAGGCAAAAAAGATTATTATAGATTAGTTAGTTATGAAGTTTATTTTGCATCCAGTGAATTCTACAGGATGGGTGGAATGTAACTTAGATATCGAGAAATCACAATAATTTCTATACTTCTGAAGCAAAGATGGTGAAAATTGACATGTACTGTACCTTATTATATGGATACAATTAGGCATTGATGCCATTCACCAATTTCCTCCAACCGCCTTCCATTCAGTCCCTGATGGCTTGTCATATGGATGGACAGCCATTTCTCTACTGCCACCAAGCCTGTGGTCATTGGCTTCAAATTCTTGTTGTTTTCCTTGTTGGCATCAAGTCCCTTCACTATATGCCATTATCTCTGTGCAGAAATCTGAACTTGCTGCTAAACAAACAAGCAGTCAGTCATCTTTTGCCACTGTCCAAACCACCCATGTGGGAATAATAATTCCAATGATTGTTGTACACGCACATACAAATTTTATTACGACATTATTGCAAAACAGCAACTTCAAAATGCCTACTTACTTTCCAATCACCTCATATATAAACAAACTAAAATGTTACAGATAAGCTAAGACCTATTCATTATTAAACGTTTTAACCGTATAAAATCATTTATTTAAATTAAAAAGTACATAATTACAGTATTGTTAGAACATTTAGGTAGGATTAACAAGTTTGTTGAATAGGTTGGATATTCGAATGTGATAATATAAACACACTAATTTTAAAAACTCAAATAGAATTTACTCAATTAACTGTTCCAGTGTATAATTAAAATTACTAATTAATNATAAAAGGATTTTATTATTTTTTCTCATAATACGATTTCATTACATTCGAAAAAGGAAGGTTGCCCGTAAAAATGATTTTTGCATTAATGCGTTTATTGTTTTTTGAATATTTTGCCTGCGAAAATGACTTGGATATTATTTTTCTAAAAATATAGTGGAAATAAGGTAGGTCGATATAGAAACTATTTATCGCGCATGTACTGTGTATAGGCTTCAAAATAAATAAATAAATAAAAATAAATTTTATCAAACGATGAGATCAGCCGATTAATCGTACAATATTTTATACCCCAAGGAAAATACTGTAAGTCTACGGTAAAATCAATTTCGTTTTCCCACGGTTAAACTTGGCCGCTAATTGCTGTTGCGATAACTTTAACGCCATCTTCTAACGACGGCGCTTTGCATTTCTTTCGTTTTTCGGACAATTTCGAATAAACTGAAATGAATTTCCTTTGTCGCTAGACTAATTCGTTAACACCCGCACCTAATTTCCAGGGTGGGAGCAGTGTCCGAGATGGGTTCGAACGACAGTTTAGATTAATTAATTATATTAGGAGGCGGAAACGTTGTCGAACAATAGTTTAGACCAGATATCTTCGCGGAAGTGGTCGCTTATTACAGTTGTTGTATGTTGTTTCGGACCAAAAATCGATGCCCGCGTCGCGTTACGCGGGTGGTAGTTTAATACGGGTAACTTATACGAAGACTTTGTGGATAAACTATTCGGTGCCAGAAATTTTTGCCCGTTTTGACGGGTGGTCGCCTAAGCAGTTTTCACTGTATTTTATAGTCCTGGTTATTCTCATCACGGTAAGCGAGGTCCTGGATGTTCGTGGAAAGAGTCATACTATATAGGAGTTTGGAATTTTCTCGATACCGTTGGTAATGAGATCTTGGTAGATTTTGTCAGGAAGGTTTGGAAGGGTTTTGTGTGAATTTTGTCTTTCCAGTTAGAGAGGTCAGTTGTGTTTTTGAGATTCCGAGACCACATAGCTGCTCCAATTTTAAGGTATAGAGGGCAGAGTCCGCTTATGACCGAAAGGACCGAGGTGGGCGCAGTACGGTAGGCAATTCGAAATACTGCAATTCTTTGGACTTTGTTAAATTTTTTGATATTTGCTTGCTTGTAGGTGGCACGCATTAATCGACAATGTGAAAACGAACACAATATTCCCGTATCCTGCCGACTAGCGGAAGCAAATTTGCACGTACCGTACTTTATACTTGAGCGTGCTCGATTTTATTAAATTTAGGCAACGCGACTCATGGACGATCTGCCAAGGGAAATACTTTCCGGGAGATCTTTTATGGGAAACTCGTCATTTAGAAGAAAACCCGGAAAACTCCACGTGGCCAGTCCGTTGGTTTGGTGCGAACCCACGACTACTGTAACTAGTGTTCGGTGGTTTTATCCACCCGGCCACTGGAAAATGCACTTGGCACGCGCGGTGCCTAGCCCGATACAAGTAATTAAACTTTTTCACGCAGAGTTTTACGGTTTGGCACACGCATTAAGTAACTTAAATTCCATTTCAATTAATATATTGAAATGAAATCTTTGCCTATATCTTTTCGGAAACTATACTACAGCTCTTTCTCATTTGTGTCTTCTTCGACTTAGGCCCACCAGTGGCCGAGTGGATAAAACCGCCGAACGACGATAGATCACGGGTTCGCGCCTCACCAGCTGCAGCGAGTGACACGACAAATCATTATTTTATTAAATTTAAATCATCATATTCACACTAATCGTAGTCGGCACGAAAAAGACACGACCGATAATCTGAGAAGGAATGTTCGTTGTGTGTGACGTGCGGGTGCGTTATATTGTAGTGTGAACGATTTTGCCATTCGGATCGTCACGTTCGTATTATTAATATAAAGATATGCTATATTTTTGTTTAAGATATGATATATTATTATTTATTTATATAAATTATAATTTCACTTAAAGATTTATATACGACAATAGTCACAATTTATAATTATTTGGTGTTTCTACACTTCTGCAGTCTGTGTGTGACAATTTTTGCCTGGGTCGTTAGATATTCGCTTTCTAATGCCTCTAGTTTGTGATTTTCTGGAGTAGTTGTTAGAATTTGTAAGTTTTTTATTGTCTACTCAATTTTCGTCATTTAATAGTCTATTGTTTGAAATATAAGAAACGAACGAAATGTCACCCATCACCTAATGGTACTTGTTGTTGAACTTGGCTTACGTCAGCGTGATTATCGTCGCCATATTGGATTCTGATGCTGTTTTTGGCCTAATAGCATATTATAAACAAAAAGCACGAATGTGAGGCTAAATACGCGTATATGTAGTTTATGCGCGATTAAATCGAACAATTTAAAATAAAGATGTACTTATCCCCAGTTGAAATTTTCAGAGACTGATTACATTTGCTACCTGAGCACAATAATCACTCGCTATTAGGGCATTTCCCGTATGTATAATTCATTTATCAACAAGAAAATTTCCAAATTTATAATTTTTACCTCTTATATGTTCTGCTTGAAGAGAAAGTGAAACTTGTGCATGCCTAGAAATGTTTTAACGCTATCATCTGTTCCAATGCGTTTTATATACACGTGCAGGCTCGTACGCAGGATTTTTAAAAACTTTTTCGTAATGTAATTTATTAAATGTTTACGAAGATCTTTATGGTAAAATTGCGGATTTACAGAAAGGACACGCTTTACAGCTGTTAAGGGCCCAACAGCGTTATTCACATCTGATTATTCACAATTATAACCTGATTACTGGTACACATGAAACGGTTTATCAGTAACTAGTAGCCCGGGACGCCCCCTAGTGGGCGTTCTTTACAAATTTCCATGGGGCACGGTTCCTTTGACCTTTTTGTTCCTATCAATACGCTCTACAGCTCCATTAATTAAAGTCCCAATAGTAAGATTTACCCTCCGAATAAAGGGGTGGCGACCCCCAAACTATAGCCCCCTGTGCGAAGAATAAAGTCAAAGGAACCGTACCCCTTCGCGAGATATAAGCCCTCGAAAATTCGCCTACGTCATTTCCGGTCACGTGATACCGTGGTCAAAAGGGAGCCTACCGCGCGAAAAAAGAGATTAACGCGCACTCACGCACACTCGGGGGTCGCCGACCCGCTCACTCGCGGGGTAAATTGTGGCAAACAGGCGGTCACGTAACCCTTAGAATAATTTTCGGAAGGCTATATCTCTGGAAGGGTCGCCACCCCTTCATTCGGAGGGAAAATCTTACCGTCTCAATCGCGTTCATATGGACCTATTAAACATTCTATAAATACTTTAAAATAGTTTAATTTGTTTATTTACCTTCGCTGGTAAACCTCGATTTTAAATGTATCCGCCATTTTTTCAACAAATTTCCCGTGAGTCAATGCGGGACGTTCACTGAGTCACGGGATGTTGTAAACGTGCGGCGCAAAGTTAATCGAGGCATATAATAGTTATTTATACCATTCCGTGGTATAAATAATAAATTCTAATTACTTACCGAATAATCGGTAAGTAATCGGTAATCGGCCAATTTTACATTTTGGTATTTTTGTTAGAATGTTACGTACAATGCTAGTAATAAGAACTAATAAATTTCTGCTATATATTTATTATTTATTACATGACAATCTGAATATTAAAAAAATGTTACTAATCAAATTATTCCTTTTATCGATACACATGTTACCGCTAAAGTTCGAAATCCGTTAATGTGCGGATTACCTAGCTAATCTGCGAATTAACTAGGGTGATCCGTTAAAGCTGCGAAAATTATTTCATTTCTCAAATTACCTATGTGCAGAGTATCTAGGTAATCTGCAAATTACCTACTAGGCACTCGGTAAAGTGAAATCAAGATTTTTGCTGGAACAACAGCAACGTTTCTGTACGCTTAAATTAACATATTGTTATTTATTTAATTTTCAATATCTAAAGAATCAAGTTAATACAATCAACAAATTAGTTGATTGAATCAATCATCAATCAATTAAAAAAACTTTAATACAAAAATCAAACGGTTTANAGCCAATTTTGATTCTTTTGAATGGGATTACTCCTGCAGTAGTATTTCGTTAAAGGAAAGCAGAAGGGGGGAGAGTATAGAAAGCATTAAATGGAGGAGGACTGCATCTGGACATTGGACTAGAGCCGCGTCCTCCTCTTTTGAATCTTCTGTTCCTCGTAGATTCGACTCGATTATTTCCGATTTTCATTCCAGTAGATCTGACAATTTGGACGAAGATGTACGCAATATTCCTTTGCGGTATTCAGAAAGCGATTCTCTTAGCAATACTGATTACGAGTACGAAGACGTAGGCGATCATACGAAATCAAAAACGTTTTCTGAAAATCACGACGTTGATCAAAAACTTCGTAGGGATAATTATTTAGGAAATACTCAAAACTGCAAGAATAAATTTTTAAGCCAAATTCACAACGGATCACAGAAACAAGAGCCATTGCCTCTCGGCGATAAAGAATCTTTGGTAACTCTCCGCCCTGAAGCATCTTTGACTAATTTGAAGCAAGTTCAAAAATGTTTTTCTAGAGCACAAGAAAAACGTGATTCCGATTCAGAAATTTCAAAAGTGCGAGCATCAAAACGAATTGAATCGGAGACAAAGACAATAGCGAAGAGTCATTTGAATGCTCCTCGTCCAGAATTTACAAAAACTCAAATTTCTTCTGTTAGTAAAACTCGACAGAAAAATTCGGTAGGAAGAAATAAGAAAATTTATCGCAAACGCAGATATAAACGTTATCCAAAATCCGTATTGACTGATGAATCTTCCCCATCACCGGTAAATCACGTCAATTTTGACAGTTTTTTTTTCTTTGTTTTGTACGAATTAAATTTATTAATTCATCAATTAAAACAATTTTTAGATACGTAAGAAAGGAGAACGAATTTCAAAGCCCCGTAAACAATTACCATCGGTCGATCAAAGTGAAAATTTGAAGCTGTACGAATTAACACAATCGTGAGGAAAGAAAATGAATGACGAAGATTATAAAGCTATTAAAATATACTTAAGAAATGAATCAAAACAGATTAATGAAATTATATACAATTTGTTTTTCTTCGTAATTAAAAACATTTTCACAAAAGATTTACAAATATTGAATTCTATATGATATTAAATTATTGGAAATATAAGTAAACGTGGTCTGTTATTTTAAATCTATATCTATAAACGAGAATGTTTGTTCGATATGCATTCCTAGGACGTTCCACTAATTGCTACGAAACTTCAGTTCCGTTAACATACTACTAACTTAAGGAAAGAGAGACGGACAGACAACAATGGAAATTTATAGATCTACAATTTTTTCAAATTGTAACCCAATAATTTTTTTATAAAAGTAATATTTACGAGAGGGCCCACCAGTGGCCAAGCGGTCTTCGTTCCCCGAACACTGGGAGTTCGGGTCGTGGGTTCGCGCCTCGCTCGGACGGGCTGGCCACGTGGAGTTTTCCGGGTTTTCTCCACGTCTGTAACGCCTAAATAGGGACTAGTTTCCCTTAAAAAGACCTTCCAAGGCATCTCCTAGGCAGATAGCCTAGTGTTGCATTGCCATAACTAAACAAACAATATTTACGAGAACATACTTCCCACGTATTTTTATTAATCTGTTACCAAAATTTAAAGACTTTATTCACGTAAAAATACTAAAATAATTCTTTTATAAGATTTTTTTATTTAACTCGTAAGATGTCAGTGTTTCACCAGCACTGAAGTGGAAAAGCCATTCGAAACTTTGTATGCAGAGCAACAGACTTCTACGACAAGGTTTCTTCAATCTGGTGAAGCGATACGAACCATATGACAGTCCCCATTTATATCGATGCATCAATCTACCTCTCTGCGACCCGGAATCAAATCCGGACTCGGCTCATTATTCGGGCCCATTATGAGTTGGGTCGAGTTCACAAAGAACCTTGTTGGTGCTCACAGAATAGAAAAAGTTAAACACGAGAACGGAGTTAAATAGATGAAAGTCGAGACCAGGAAAGTTTAGGGCAGAAGGCCCAGATTAACTAACTATATAGGTATTTCCGGTTTGCACCGGAAGTCACGTTATTTCGATTCAAAATTCCCCCAAACGGAATCGGATAAATAACCGGTACGACTCTATTGCTAACAGGAAAAGTATGATGTACAGGGGCAGAACACTACTATACTCCACACCGACACCGACAAGTGTTATATGCTACCTGTCCCAGTAAAGGTGTATTTGCACATCTATTTCGCGCTATATCATTCTCATTAATTCGGTGAATATAATATATATTTTTTAATTATATCCTTTTTTGTAAGAATTATATTTAGTTAATTTTTTCCCAATAGATGGAGCTGCATGTAAAACCAGCAATCAAATGTAGACAGAAATTAATTAATCGATATTTTCGGGTGGGATGTACGACATTATCCAAGTTTGAAGTGTTTACACGTAACTGCCGTAGCAATTGATCGAATGGCCTAGGAGTGTATAGCGAACAAACATCCAAACAAACAAACATTCTTATTTTTACCATCCGAATATCGCGATAAACGTGACACTGGTAAGCTGAAATAGCCAAACTCTTTTATATGGTTTTCGTTTTAATGTTTGTTATATTTGATTTATATAACTACAAAGGTTATCTTACGAAAGGATTTATTACACCGAATGACCAATCTAACACTTTTAAAAATTATTTATTCCTCTATTGTACACAATTTAAAGAATTTTTAAAATGTGATATGAGTGGGCGCTCGATGTGATAAACTCTTACGTAAGCTTTATGGTATACATTATAACCTTTGTAAGTTTAAATCAACTACTGTAATATAATACGATAGAAAGGTTAGAAATACGAAATAACCTTAACGTTTGTTTTTATTTTTTGCTAGGGCAATGCCGGTCTTACCTGCTATATATATAAGGATGTTTGTTTGTTTTTTCGCTATGTACGCTTGTGCCGTTCCACCAATTGCTACAAAACTTGACAGTTATCACATACAGTCGATCCCCCTATAAACGGTAGATACGTTCCGTTCTTTATGAATCAATTTTGTAGGAATCATAGTTTACGGACTACGGCTGTTTGAAAGGTTTTCTTCCATAAAATTAATCGATTCTAGACTAATCCGACTCAACATTTCCAAAATACGTATATTTTTTTGGAAATAATCCGTATAAACTACGCTATAAACAAAAAATTGTAGGATTACTCACCGAGTGTGCACCATTCGACATCGCTGTTGCTCAAGCTTGTTTTCGTCACGGAACAGCACAGCAATCAATCAATCAATCAATCGTTTTTATTAGGTGCTCGAGGCACATACTCAGCACCGCAAGAGCACAGCTGAGAAAAATTATATACATTTACAATAGTACATATTAACAGTGTATACAAAACTGTCAGTTAAATACAAAATATTACAGAGAGAATAATCAATACATTAATAACATTAATACAGAATAACAATGAAATATTATTAAAGAATAGCAATGTATACAGAGTTATCATATGTAGAAAATATTGCAGACAGAGTATTTAGAACTTAATAACTAACATAAGAAAAATAAACTTAATAACTAAAATTAAAGCTAAGAGAAAGTTCAATGAAATAATATAGAGGAAAAGTGTGCAGAGAAAACACCGGGAGTAACTCCATATTCTCTTGAAATAAGACCATTATGGAGGTACCGCAAAACTCCTTGGAGTAAACTTGTCCATAAGGGCCTCCAAGACATCTTGAGTACTTGTAGAACAAGTTTTGCAGAACAAGTCTTGCAGGACAGAACCGCCAGGAATAACTCCATATTCTCTTGAAATTAGTCTGTCAGGGAGGAACCACAAATACTCCTCAGAGTAAACTTGTCCATAAGGATCTCCAAGACACCTAGAGTACAGGAGTACTTACCGAACACAAAATGAACCAAATACAGTCGACCCCCCTATAACACTGTTGATAATTCTATTTTATATGAATTCCATGTTGTATGAGTAACTTAGATTTTACAAATACATGTGCCGGGCTGTGAACGGCTCACATATTTGTAAAATCTAAGTGATTCGTACAGCATGTAATTCATATAAAGCGGAATTATCAACAGTGTCATGGAGGGTTCGACTGTACAGATTTAATTGTCATGATGACTGCAGTAGGTCAGCCAATTAACAACTGGATAGATTTAAAAGTTAAATATTTATAGTCAAACCAGAGAAGTCAATGAGCAGCCAATGAGGGTTTTGACACTAACCAATCAGGATATGAATTTATCAAAGCCTACATAGTAAGAGAGATGATAAAAAATATTTTATTGAAGAATTAATAAACAAAGTGAGACATTCATGGATTTATGACTTCTTTTAGATAGAAAACTTGAAAGCTAACAATGATTGTCTGGTGCTTGATATTGAGTATTGCATTTTGGTTGGTCATAACAAATCAGCCCCACTGACAAATAGCATATTCAGTGCAAATACTTTTGTTATCATTTGGTCCAATTAAGAGATTGATCCATGCAATCAACAGTAGCATGAAATTGTCCTCAGTGTTGTTTGTCTGATTTGTCGTTCATCACTGACTCCAAAGGTAGTTGGCTAATTATTGTTATTTAAATTAAATGTTGCAATAACTGGAAATGCCTTACCCTACAAAACAGAATTTTCATAAAAAAGTTACATAAAGAATAAGTGAACAAAAATTAAAATGACAATTTACACAAAATATCTTGAACCTTCTGTGCCTACAAACTTTTTAATGACTTTAGTGACAATCATCAGGTCTATTTAACAAAGAATGATCCATAAAACTCTAAGATATTCAAGTTCTATGAATCCTTTAAGGCATTTATCTTGAAAGATTGGATTAGCCAAAAACTTTTTATTTATTTCAAACATATGAATTGAGGATTATCCCTCAATTCATATGTTTAAGATTTAAGTGTTTTTTGTAACATGTAGCAAACAAGCACCCACTTGCACAAACAATAACAAACATGACCAGCTCATGGCATCAGCAAACTTTTTGCTCTACTTCTCACAAGTACACTTTTTATTTCATCACCCAATATTTCATCTAAATATGGCATTAAATAAAATTATTGTTTTCATAAAAATTTTATGCCCTCTATAATCTATATATATAATTAAGACGGGTTGATAATAATAATAATCACAAATCTTCTAATCTAAATACTGGTATTTTGAACAATCTCGTACTTACTAAACCTTTATTGTCCAGTACTTCTTAACTATTGTTTTCGGCCTCGGTTGAGGTCTGCTTCAGGTTAAAAGAACAATCGGATTCCACTCTTAAAACAAACATTTCAAGAAAATGATGACAATATGTAACACGCGCATAAGTTCGGATATATTTTAAAACGAAACATTTGTTTTAAGAGTGGAATCCGATTGTTCTTTTAACCTAAAGCAGACCTCAACGGAGGCCAAAAACAATAGTTAAGAAGTACCGGACAATAAAGGTTTAGTAAGTACAANTTAATCTTCAAAATATTTATAACTATATTTTTTATATCTACTTTATATTCTACAATATTTAAATTACAATAATTACTGCACATATTGGTCTTCACTGAAGTAGACCTTAAGGTGACTGCAAATTCAAGTTTGTATTTATGAAATTGCAAAACCAACACATCATCACACCCCAAAATCTTAGCCTTTCTTTTTAATGATGATAACAGCACAACCAAATGTGCTAAATGTACAATACACAAAAACTTTTTACAGATGACAAAGTGTGTACAAGACACAAGAGCTGCGTCTTCAGAGGTCTTAGAAAAATAGACTACCACCTCTGCTGCATAAAAGAAAAATAATGGGATAATGTGATGTTTCATATATCACATACATGACATGAGGTTGATTTGAAGGGTGAGACTTAAATAATACAGCAGACAGTGCTTTAATGCAAACTGACAATATTAAAACTAAAACAATGTATGTATATTACAATGAATAAGATATAATAACAATAGAGTTTAAAGTTGATAATATTGCCAAACTGTCCTATAGCTTTCTTTTTTCTTAAAAAAATCTCCAGATACCAATAAATATTTTCAAATGTCAAATTTTGGAGATTGCATTATTAAAATTGGTGTCATCCTGCAGAAACTGAAATAATTTTTATCAAATCTTTTCTTTCTTGTTAAATACAGATTCAACTAATAGCCTTATAGCTTTATTGCACTGGAGGCATGCAATGGCCCTGTAAAATCTATTTTTTTTTCTTTTGGTATACTTTCATCACCATGGAAGTACTTAAAAAGCTAAGTAATTTTACATTCAGTTAATAAAGATATACAATTTATACATGCAATATAGTCTTATGACAATTGTTTTTGTACATAGAAAAAAATACAATTCTCTTATAATCATATTATGTTATTTTCTGACATTAAACATCTCAATTAATGTCAAGAAGAAACAAACAAACAAACAAACAAACTTTTTGGCATCATTCTATACATAATGTGCTTAGAAAACATCATTTGTTGTTATTTCAACATAGGATATCAATTAAAACAAAACTTTAAAAATTTACGTTACATTAGACTATATTATGTAGTCATTATTATTAAAACACAATTTCTATAGAAATGACTAAAAATATTTTATATATTTTAAATGTAAATTAGAATTGAATTACCTGAGACATCTTAAAGTAACAAATATGATAATCAGGGAAATTTAACAAATATGTAGAACTAATAGCAATTGTACAAGTACACTTAAAAAAGAAAAATTACAATTGGAATGAGTAGTGATATAATATCTGAAATTAACAATATCATTAATTTGATTCTAATTAAAACATTCATGAATAAAACTCTTCAAAAACCATTTTTACAATAAAAGAATCAATACAAGAATTTCACTGTGATAATATAATTTAACAATAATCTATACGAATAAAATATCTGACTGCTGTTAATGACCGAATATCTCTTCAACTAAGCCAATACTCCAATTCCACACAATCAAAATAATCAATCTGCATAATCCCCATGTTTTTATATAAAAATTTAAGGAACTATTTTCAATGGGAAGCATTCATGCTTAGATTATGGCCATTCAAGATTTTGATAATTACCACAAATTGTTACAATACATAAATTTTTCTATAAGTCTACACAAAATGTGGAAAATAGTTTTGTACTATAAAGTAGTTTGTTTGAAACTACTGTAAAAATATTTTTAGTTGAATTAAGTTTTTCGAATATCTTATTGCTTGATAATAAGTGATAGATACATACTGTTTACATATTTGTATAATATATAATATATTTTGCAAATATTTAAAGAATATTATAAATACCAAATATAAAACAGATACCTCATACTCAAATTAATAAAATGTGACTAGTTGTAATATTAAAGTAAAATATAGTATATGTGACATTTAACAATATATAGAAGAAAAATAATCATCAAATTAGTTATAGACATTATAAAATCCTAAAAACTTTTTAATTTAATTTTATTCTCTGTTTTAAAACATATAATCCTCTCTCAAACAATGACAATATGACTATGACTATAATGCAGATTCCTCAACTATAATGTATATTTCTCATGCTCTTATTTTGCAAAATAAATGCAGAATAAAAAGAATTATTTCTAGAATTCTATTTTCATATTTTCTATATGAACAGTAACAATAGATAAGATAAGACATGTACCAAAACTAGAAAAGTTGTTCATGATTTTGGAGAATGAAAATCAATTTAATAATTAATCAAATTGTCTTTTTGTTGCTTTTAGCACATTAATAACAAAAAAAAAATAAAATAAAAGGCACTTAATTTTTTTTTTCATTTATATGGTATAATATAATGGCTTCCAAACTTTCTTTATAATAGTAAATATTCTTTTCAAACAGATAGTCTGCCATTAACATAGCATTTTAGATTATTAAATTTTACATTTAAGGAAAATTATTATTAATAATCTATGTAGAAACAATGAATTTTTGTGCACAAAATAATTAAAATACACTGCAATATACTCTTGTAATCTTAACTGAGTGAGAACTAAAAACCTGGTGAGAAATTATGCAAGAGTTTCATCAATTAGACAATCAAACATAAAATATAACCATGTTAAATTCTTCTCAACTGAACCAAACAGAAATTGGTAATTTTTTCTGTTTAAAACTATTCCTTAAATGATCCAACAGTGAAACAATTTTTAATAAAATCACTATTTTCAAAATCTGAACTACCATTAATTCAAATAGCATTAATTAATTCAGATTACTAAGAGTGCACAGTATATTTAAATTTTAAAAAATACATTAACTATATTTTTTTATCATCAATCATTTTTCAACAAATCTTTCTATGAAATATCATCAAAGTAGTTTGAAAACCATTGGTATAAAATATTTTAAAAAAGTATCATCTAAGAAATAAGTTACATTTTAATACTTCAATATAGAATTAAATGCCTCCATGGACAATGAATATAAAAAGCCATATCAAAACTCTCTCAAATTCACTGTTTCTTTCATAGATTTTTATCACAAATCTCTTTGGTAAAACAATAAAAAAACTGATTAATGAATATTTGAATTCTTAGATGACAGATTTTAAATAGCAAAAATAAAATTAGTGATTATTTTATTGATGCATTGCATAAGAAGTATGCTTACTTGGTTTTTCTTGCATTAATGCAACTTCCATGCATAGCATGTTTCATATAATGATATGAATGATGATATACTGGTCTCCTTGCATATATATATTTGCTGATGGAGCCATATATATAATATTTCAAATTTATAATCATAAAGGAAAAATGGCTATGAGATGATTCTTCTTTATGTTAAAATATATCTATATATATGTATATATATGTATATATATATATATATATATAATATTTTTTATTGAAAGTGGAAGGCCTTTTATTCATTTTAAATCTGATCATCATAAGAATATGAGGTTTACCAGGCATAATACAGATAATTGAGACTGATTTGAAATTCTTTTGTTGTGAAATTCAATAACTGTGCAGAAAGTCTTTTGATAAAATAGCATAGAATAAAAAATATTCACTTAGTTTCGTAAGATGTGGTTTGATGAAGAACCATCACAGTGTTAAGAAAGAGAAGCTCAGATGATCTTTGATTATATAATCTTTTTTCCTTTTAACTTGTCAATCAGATGACATATCTTCAGTGCAGGACCAAGTTTTAAACCCATGTATTTCATCATCATATCACTATTTNAGGATTTCACTTTACCGAGTGCCTAGTAGGTAATTTGCAGATTACCTAGATACTCTGCACATAGGTAATTTGAGAAATGGAATAATTTTCGCAGCTTTAACGGATCACCCTAGTTAATTCGCAGATTAGCTAGGTAATCCGCACATTAACGGATTTCGAACTTTAGCGGTAACATATATATATTATTTTTAATATTTTGTATTCAGCCAAAGTTCATTGTTTTGAAGAATCGACTTGTTATCCTTTAGCCTTTGGATTTAATTTGATTATACTAGCATTAGCATTAGGTGAGTTAATTACCTCGTACATTCGTACGCGTGATTAAGATACGCATTAAAGTTTTATTTTACTTATAATAAAATATTTAAAAACGTGGCTATTTGTAGGTGAAACTAATTAAAATATTTAAAATCTAAAAATATCAACACAGCATAATCAAGGAACTACATTAGTTTAAATAAATATATAAAGTAATCATTTTAATAATTTATATCATGTTCTTTTTAGTTTGTTTTCTGATTGGACATCCTATGTATAAAATGAATCCTCCTTCTGGCACCGTACTATCAAAGGGAGTTAAATGCACAATAGTAAGTACTGTATATCTTTTTTTAGTTAGCGGAATAAATTTACGTTTTAGAATAAAATCAATAAACTAAATCCGAATCTCTCTCTCTCTGTGTGTTCATTCTCAATCTAGAGAGAAGTTCCACTTCGTAGAAGTGTAAACTGTAGGGAGATTGAGTAATTTTGAAATCTATATTCATTCTGTTTTCTATGTTCATTCAATTTCAACTGTTGTGAAATTGAATGAACATAGAGAACAGAATGAACATAGATTCTGTTGTGAGATTCAATAAACACTTTTGTATGTTCATTCAATTGTTTGAGTAAACATACAAGTGTTACAATTTAAAACATACAGATTACAATTCAATTCAATTGTAATCTGTATGTATACTCCCCACATCTGTTCAGCATCTGTTTCAAGGTTAAGTGAAAACGATGTCAATCCACCCCTCATGTAGCTTCAGTCCCACGTTGTTATTAATTCTGATGTCTTCCTGTATTTTCAGAATTTCTAGGTGTTCCTGTAGTATTCTTTTTAGTTGATTGTTTTCTGTCATAACACACTTGATGCTATCTTTTAAAACTTCACAACTTTCAGTGTTGCAATCTTATGCCACTGATGATGATATCGAATTATTTTTAATGGCATATATATGTTCTTTAATCCTTGTCTTTAATTTTCTACTAGTTTCCCCTATGTATTTTTTATGTGAACAACTGTAATCAAAAAACACATACGTGGACTGAAGCTACATGATTGACATCGTTTTCACTTAACCTTGAAACAGATGCTGAACAGATGTGGGGAGTATAGTCGCATCACTTTGTAAAAATGCAGTGTGACAGAGCAGTTGACTTCACAAAGTCTTATATCAATAGATCAGATGTATTTTGTTTGTGTTAAAACCTGGAGACCAATTGGTTTTAATTAATAAGAGTAAGTTCATTGTTAGCTTCCTTCCCTCTTTTTTGGTGTTTTTTGTGTTTTTTAATATACTTAACGATATTTATTATTAATAGTGTAACCGTCTACCAGAATTTGAAAAATGTAGGAGAAACTAAGACATTTACTAGTCCCAGATAATATGTTATACCACATTGTCATTGTATTCTAATTTATACTTGATATTTTAGTTTGTAGTGTATGGGTTACATTGAGAAATTGTAAATACAGTGCACTGCATATGTTGGTTATCCCGTTGTATTGGCAGGTTATTGGTATTGTATTTGTTACGGTATTACCATGTGTTTGTAAGCTGATGAAGGTCCTTGTACCCGAAATGCATACTTACCTAAATTTGAAATGTGATTATTAAAGACCAACCCTTTTTTTTTTATAAAAGTTCTGGTTCTTCTTTCTGTCGCCTTGGTGTGATAAGCCCTGCAAATTGTTATACTCTATTTATTAGGTTATCTAATTCTGTCTACTTTAATATTGTTATTACTTTGAATTTTTCTAAAGGTGTTGTCTGCGTAGGTAAAAGAATTGATCTTCCAGCAGTCTATTAGGACACATGAACAGGAAGCAGCTGATTGGAACATTATCAAAAATTCTCATATGATTATATAGAGAAGCCTCATATACATTGCAGATTCAGAAAACACTCAAATGTCCGGTACAATGATTTGTCGTTTTGTCAATGCATTGGCGTGTTAGGGTGCGACTATGCAGACGCAAATTTAGAGCGAGAGATTTAGTTTTCGCAAAGGAAAACCATGCACAAACGAGAAGCGAGAAATAACGCTAGCGAGAGCGAATTTCTGATTCTCGCAAATATCTGACAGGTTTTGATATTTATCGCGTCTCGCCTCTTCTCGCCACATATTCTCGCTCGCTCGCGTCTGCATAGTCGCACCCTTACTCCCGTTTAATAGACGCCGTATACATAAAAATACATTGTTTTTGTGTGTTTTACATAAATGTAGGCTTTGATCTTGCTATCTATTGACTACTCCATCGTTTAGTTATGTCTCACAATCAGGTATATTCTTCGATATTGCATGGCACCCACTTCACAACAGTAATGAAGAATGCAGCACTTCTACTCTTTTTACGTTTTCTGTAGTAAGTTCGTAATTGCTGCAGTATATTGATATTCAAACAGTTTAATTCCTAATAAGTAGATAAAAGCCCGTGCAAAATGTTTTTACACGTTACATACTGTTTTCTTTCTATAGCATGCAGTCGTAAGGAAGATTAGACTGAGGAAAGTGGTAATCAAGGAGCATTGGTTGGATTATGCGGATGATAAATTTGATGTGAGCTATTTTTTTCTTACAAATTCAATTCATCTGTTCAATATATGATTATTCTTCACAATTCATATTTCAGGCGCAATTAATCTTCGATATTAAAATACTACTTCGAGTTGTATTGATATATCTACTCCTACCGATGATTTTGGCTCTTTTCTTTTTAAGGGTAATTTTTTTAATAATATATATATATATAACATATTTAAAATTTTGTAAATTTTGTATATATTTTCTGTANTGTAAATTAGGTACCGTAAGTCTAATACAGTACTGTAATTTTATACATTTCGTGTGAAAGAAACATTCCTTATTTAACGGCGATTAAAATTATTTATATTAATGATGTCTCCGAAGTTCAACAAAGTTTTCGCAGAAAAATAACATCAGAAATCGCAACCGCGGTTTGCTGAGCTGTTCCGTGACGAAAATAAGCTTGAGCAACGGAGATTGTCGAATGGTGCACACTCGGTAAGTAATCCTACAATTTTTTGTTTATAGCGTAGTTTATACAGATTATTTCCAAAAAAATATATACGCATTTTGGAAATGTTGAGTCGGATTAATCTAGAATCGATTAATTTTATGGAAGAAAACTTTTCAAACAGCCATAGTCCGTAAAGTGCATATGTGTCGGGCTGTGATTGGCAAGGACTCGTAAGAAATCGATTCATAAAGGACGAAACGTATCTACCGTCTTATAGGGGGGTCGACTGTATTTAACTAAGTGATGCTAACTTATTTATTTGCTAAATATCAATTTTTAAAATAATTTTGTTATTTTAAATATGTTTTTAAATAAAATACTGTATATTCTATTATCAAGCAATACCAGAGTTTAGTAAATTTATAAAATATTATTCAAACTGTCATAGATTAGACATTGTCAATGATTTTAAAATTATCAATAATGAAATTAATGAAAACATTAGTATTAATTAGTTATTAGATCCATATTTAATATAAATTTTTGATACTTTTGAGTGATGTTCTAAAGTTAACTTTTCTCTATTGAAGATAACTGTTATATCTTGTTATTTGATAGCTTTTAATACCTCAAAAGCATATGGATAGTCTTATATTATGTGAGTAATCAATCTTCTTTGTGAAAGGTTTGACAAAATGAAGAGCCACAGTATTCCAAATTAATTAAATTTACATTTAATTTCCAATTATTTAATATTTACACAAGATGATAGTTTCAACTACCTTAATTTCAAATTCAGGATGAACTCAAAAACTGAAAATGTCTCTATTAATTTAAATTAGTACATTATAAATTAATTTTGTGCTCTAATAAAAATTTCTTTAACTTGTACTATTAAGCAAATATCTTTTATGTGAGCAGTATTTTTAAAAGCATGTTAATAACTAAATTATTACAATTTAGATAGTAAAATGTTCAACTTGATACAAATTTTAAGGAAATTCTATTTTAAATTAAATTCTGCAGCTTATATGAATTGAAATGAAGCGATTGAAAATATATGAAATGCTTACTGACCAATGTTGACAGAGGGAAAACAACAAAACAGTCAAAGTCTTTTTCTCTTTTGTATACAAATCAAATCTCTGACTACTAAAATTAATAGTAGTAACCAAACTTGACCAAGGACAATTTATGTAATTTATTTTTCAATATTTTGATACAACTTTAAACTGGAAATAAATATTTANAAATTTTGTATATATTTTCTGTATTTTACTTTGTTAATCTCGTCCCTTTTGGAATGAGGTTAACAGCACCAATAAAATAAGGAGAGTTCGAGTGAGGACCCGAAAGTGAACGGACGTGTTATTTTATGGTCTCCAATTTTCTTTGTCTTGTTCAACCTACACTCGACCTTACGACTACGACTGCAAAATAATACGACATATATATATATATATTTTACACGTGGTGTATTAACAGTTCAGAAACTATTGGGGCAAATCTCAACCAAATTTCATATACTGGAGAGTGCGGCTAAAGAAAAAGTTTTATATTCTTTTATTCCTGTTATGTTTTATTTTTCAATTGTTTTGAATAGCAGCATGTTTCAGCTTTCTGAAATAATAAGTTGTTAAGAAAACGGATATACTGCATTTTATTTCAAAAACAATGAAGGATGTAAGTGATGCAACAAGCCTATGAAACGAGGCAAATTGCATTATTTTTTGGCATGTTTAATAAATATTTATTCATTTTCGTCGTACAATCAGCACGTACATAATTGTTTTGCTTTACAATTTACTCGAACAATCGGTGGAACACGATAGGTACACAAGAACACAGGTTCTTGTGTACCTGTCACCTACCGTAACATATTGAGTAACTTTATACCACTCTTTTATTCCAAAGTTGATTAGAAAACGTACGTAATATGCGTCTTAAGGAAACAATAGCGCCAATGACGCCCTAGTTGATGAATGTTGAAGTGAAATTACTTTTTAAAAAAATCGAAACTGAGGCCAGTATATGTAAACCAAATTTGATTGATGATTTTCTAAGTAGTTTTTTTACACAGAGCTCTCAACACCTATTATTTGATTATATATATTTTCATTAGATTCTCATTACATATATTTTTGTTTTCTTAAGTTTTCTAGTTTCATACTGCAAGCAACCAAGCTAAACAATCGAGTTGTAAGTAATTTAAAAATTATGCCACTTTTATTAGATTTAAATATTAACAGAAAAATTCTGTAGTGGATAAATGTCATTATTTAATTGTACTTATTGAAAACGTATTATATACATATTTCTAAGTAATGTTTTAAATTCTGATCAATATAAATACATTATTACATCCAGCAAATTGATAACATTGATTAATAACTTTTTTAGTTAGGATTTGAGATTGAAGCGGATCAAATTCAAGTACTAGTTCCATTGTTAAGCATTTCATTAATCCCTATTCTCGAGTACATCGTATATCCTATCTTCAATAAATGTAATTTGTTAACAAGGTAAAGGAGCAATTCTTTAACTAATTTTGATTATTTACTTGATATACAGTGAACCCTGCTGACGTGACCACTAAAAGGATCAGCTCAAAGTTGTCACCTTACACAGGTGATCAAATTAAGCAGGTTTCAAGATTGAAACCTGCTTAATTTAAGGTCAAAATCTTGAAAAACAACAAAAATTTTAAGGGGATCAATTGAAAAGAATATTTTCTATATATGAGGGACAATGGAAGAAAAGATTGGAAACTCCTGATGTATACAATATAAAGAAGTCAAGATTTTGTCTGGTCTATACCTACATTAATTACTTTGTTTTTGTTTGAAACAAAAACAAAGTAATTAATGTAGGTATAATGAAATGGAAAAATGAAATATATGAATTAAAACTTCATTTATTATTAAGATCTTGTATATTGAGAAATGAAAATGTACGTATTCATAAAAATACCTTTCAAATACATTACTTTTAAAATGTTTTCGCTTCTAGCAGTTTTTAGAATCCTTTCCCGCATCCTTTACATAGCCTAAATATAAATTTAGGGATCAATTTGGTTATTAGTTACTATTACGAGTGGTCTAAATACGGGAATTTAAATTTGACCACACAGTTTAATGCATTAAATAACTTCTAATTTAATTTCATTATTAGTTCCTTGCAGAAAATCATTGTGGGAGGCAGTTTAATGGCATTATCATATTTAATTGCAGCTTATCTACAGTTGTCATTAGAGGTATGATATTTCCTTCACTTAATTTCTTTTCCTTGTACGTTCAATAAAATTTATTTAGTAACTTTTAGGAAAACATACTCAATAAGACGTAGTCTTTTATATAGGGACATGCATTTTGTGCATTTTTGCCCTTCTTCAGTCCAATTTCTTAAGAAGTTCCAACTTAACTCACATTCAACGCAATGTCTTGTATTGAAAGCGAAGTAAAATTGTAAACAAACGAGTAATTATTTATTGTGACATTGTCACAATGACGGGCGACAATGTTTTTAGATGTCGATGCACAATGCTCTTGATTTTAGGAGTGTCTCGCCTCTCTACATCATACTTTTCCTATTAACAAGAGTTTCGTGCAGGTCATCTATCTAATTCTCTTCTGGAGAAAATTCTTGAATTGAAACAACATAATTTCCGGTATAAATCGGAAGTTAATGTATAGGTAATCGGGATCTCTGGCTCTGATCTTTCCATTTCTGGTCTTGACTTTCATCTATCAAATTCTTTAATTTATTCTAAAATAAATTTAATAAATTTATAGTATATTTATGATTAATAAACATTTAATAAACATTAGTTTATAGAAAGCTTATTCATTAAATAGATAAATAAAAATTAATATTTTTTTCAGAAACATCTATTAAACTGTGATGCCAAGTATCGCCTTACTATCGTAAATTACACTCCGTGTGACGTAAGTGTAGAAACTCCAATTAATTCATTGGCTACGAATGATAATCAGGTAATTTTTTAACTGTAACGATCAATAACTTAATATAAATAATTAAAAGCATTTGCAACGTTTAAACCGAAAAGTTTATTCATATCAATATTTATAATCACTGAAATAGAATAAATACTGTATCGTGTGAGAAATAATTCTTCAGGGTATTAATAGAGAAAGACTTCAGATTAATTTCAAATTTCTCACGGAACACAATTACTAGTCAATGCTAATTTTTGGGTAGAACAATATTCAAATTATACCTGATTAACTTTAAGGAAATAATGCACCAAAATCGACTCAGATTTTAGAATTTATACTTTTGGATAAAGATAATTAATTCAGTCGCTGCAGTCGTTCAGATAAGAGTAGGAATAATACAAAAGAATACATTGAAATTAATATTCTCAACATATTCACTCTAATGTACGTTAAAGTGTACATTGGAATATTCATTCTAATGAATTCGTTAATGTAACGACATAAAAATACATTGGAATGAATGTCGTTACATTAATACGTAGCTGTAATATAGTAATCATCTTGTTTAAATGTCGTAATGTCGTAAAAAGGTATTCATTTAATGTCTTCTGAAGCAGCTTAAAGCATTTTATATGTGGTTACATTAAAACTGCTATTTGATGTAACGACATATAAAATGCTTTAAGCTGTTCGATGTTTCGCAACAAGCTGCATTTAACTATATATTTATCATCCAAAACTACATAAAATACTATATATACACTAAATTCAATAAATAATTTTCAAATAAAATTATAAAATGAAAGCAGTTGTAATGAATAAATATTTTCTTTTAACAAAAATACAATTTTTTAAATATATTTAGGTTAAAGAAAAAATTACTGAAGATGATTTCGTTCGTGGTTTAAATATAATTGCCACCAACTGTACGCTACAGGAAGAAAAAATAAATTTCCATTTATATAGCAACATCTCAGAAACAACAGTTATTTTCAATATTCGTGGAATTAATCCAACTATAAATGTAAATATTATTGTTTTCTCAATTACTTAAAATATTACGTTTATGAAGTAAAACTCGCTACATTAGGATATAATAGGATGTAGATGATAGGAAGGCAGGCATTGGCAGTTATAAGAAGTGAAATTTCGCATATTTTCCTTGATAGTAACAATTAATAATTTAAAATATGTTGTAAATTTAGACAGAGAGATTAATGGATGAGTCTTAATGAATTATATATTTTATTTCATAGTAAAGCCGAGTTAATCGTCAACTCCAACTGTTAGTTCTCTAAGGTGGCTTTACGCAGCAGATCGTTACTGCATTTATTCCAAAACAAAATAAAATTACACCAAAAAAGCAATGCGTATATTCTACAGAGAAATTCCAAATTGAGAGAAATTGTACAAATTCTATCCTAGTGGATGGGGAATATTGCCAGTCTACTTATGCACAATTCTATAAGGAATTGTGCATAAGTAGACTGTAAGAAATTAAAGGAATATTTACAGTCCACTAGGACTGTAAATATTCCTTTAATTTACAGTCCACTAGGACTGTAAATATTCCTTTAATTTCTTACGGGGAATATTTACAGTCCACTAGGACTGTAAATATTCCCGTCTACTAGGACATTTACAATTCTGTAAGGAATTGTGCTTTAATAAATTTAAAATAAAACCTAGATTTAAAACCTAGAAGAAAAAAACTCTGCAAATATAATCACTGGTCTACAATTTTTTAAATTGCAGCCCAAGTATCTAAACTTGGACATTATATGACTATTCGAACGACTCAACCAGATAGTCTGTCTTTTATTCCATTATTTTAAGGTGAATATCAATCCTAAAAACCTGGAGTTTGCGCTTATGAAATTAGTTATGCGATTAGTTGTAAAATTTCGAATTAATATAATTAAATTTTGCATTCTATTAATAAATTTTATTAATTTTATTTAATTTTTGAATTTTATAAATTTTATTAGACTAATTGTTTTTAATAATACTTTAAAGACGAAAGTTTTACCTGTACCCCAAATCAATATTAAATACGGAATGAACGTATCTTTGGATAATTCACCTCTTCTGTTAAAAAATAAGACGTCAATAAGAAATTCTCACATGACAGACAGATATACAGACGTTATGAAGTAAGTTTAAATATTATTTTCCAAACTCTCTTCAATTCAAAATCAGCTTATTTATGTCGAATTTCTTGGGATAGTGTATATATTTTTACGTAAATTTGACTTCACTCTTAAAAATTTCTCATTGTAAAATTGTACATTATTATAATTGATATGTATATTACTAGTATTACATATTAATAATAATATCTTGAGTTTATTAATGCCTTTTCTTATATACAGCATTAATATTAAAAGTGGAAATATCTGCAAAGTTATAGCATTTGAAGATCAAAATGGAATGTTGGTAATAAAACTTTTAGCAATAATGAAAAATTTCAGAATAAAAAATGGCGTGTTTTATTTGTAATAGAAATGGCAACACGAAGATTTATTACAATGCAATTCTTTATCCATCTTGCTTCAAATACCTCAATACACTTTACTGGCAGCAGGAGAGGCTATGTTCTACATTAGTGCTATGGAATTTGGATATAGTGAAGTAATATAAATGGTTTTTTTAATATCATACATTTAAAAAACTAACCTGAAATTTCCATAACACATTTAACTGCTCGTAGGCTCCAACCAGTATGAAATCCATCATTCAATCATGTTTTTTCCTTGATTCGGCATTGGCGAATTTCATGATTCTTATTGTTCAGCAAATGAAATTCTTAGGTAAAGAGGTAAGTTTGTTTGGTTTTTGTTATTTTGACAGGAAACTTCTCTATTCTATGATTTAAAAACCATAATTTAAAATAAGAACTTTGTAGCTAATGGCATTTTATGCCATGTAATTTATAAATTTTTATAAAAACATAATTAAAATAAAACTATTATTTGTATAAATCTGACTATTCTACCTCCCTTGTAAGTTAAAATAGTTGTTTCCTGTACTTGGAATGCAGTTTGAAAAAATTACAGACATAAATTTCCACTGTCATCCATCTGTCTGTCGAACTTTAATCTCCAGGACAGTTTCACATAGATGAAAGTTGAGACGAGATATCGAAAACTTAAGAGAAGAAGACTCTAAGTGTATACAAACTTCTGTTCGTGAATGGAAGTCATGTAAATCGAATTTAAAAATTTTCCCTTGAATGGAGTTACATAAATAAATGGCACGACTCTATTGTTAACAGGAAAAGTATGAAGCACAGGGGCAAGACACTACAAATTTGAGGTGGGGAAGATATATTTTATATTAAATAAATTAAGAATATACAGTAGACCCCCCTATAACGCTTAGATACGTTCCACGCTAATCGAATTTTACGTTGTAGGAATGATTAAATACATGAGCCAATCGCAGCCCGATAGGTGGGAACTTTACGGACTAAGGCTGTTTGAAGGTTTTCTTCTATAAAATTAAACGATTCTAGACTAATTCCACTCAACATTTCCAAAACACGTATAATTTTTTGGGAGTAATCTGTATAAACTATGCTATAAACAAAAAATTATAGGATTACTTACCGAGTGTGCACCATTCGACTACGCCGTTGTTCAAAGCTTGTTATCGTTGCGGAACAGCACACGAAACGGCGGCCGCGATTTCTGATAAATAATTTTTCGCAGAAAAATAACTTGACCTTTGGAGACATCATTAATATAAATAATTTTTATGGCCGTTGAATAAAAAATGTTTCTTTCACAAAAAATGTATAAAATTAGTGCTGTATTAGACTTACGGTACCTAATTTACATACTGAACAGACGATAATAAACTCAACTTAGTACCTAAAATCTCCATAGCGCGGCGCCACGCTCGACGGCGGAAATTACGTATTTAATTATTATTATAATTAAATACAAGTTACAATAAGTTAATATATAATTATATATACAGTACCTAATTTATATATAATTAATATATAATTATATGTACAGTACCTAATTTATATATAATTTATATATAATACTAAACAGACGATAGCAAACTCAATTTAGCCGCTCCGTAGCGTGGCGCAGGGTCGGAGGAAAGTAGTTCGGCTGCTTATCCACTATCTGTCCAGACTCTATCAATCTTGTCGCGAAACGAGTCGGCGAAGACGTTTTAGGAGCTGCTTTATACGAATGTTGCAACAATTTTTTCGCTACGTTATAGGAATTGTCGTTATAGGAACGCACGTTATAGGGGGTCGACTGTAACTAAAAATTCTAGCCTGACATTGTGAACATATGCTTATCTGTATTTCCTATTTCACCACTGATTAAAAATTAATCGTTTAGTAGTAAATATAATTTATTTTTAATAAATTTCTGATGAATCACCATTAAAACTCAATAAGGACAAGCAATTATTTATTGTGACAGCGTTAGAATGACAATTTTTTACATTTCGTTGCACAATGCTTTCAATTTTAGTAGTGTCGCGCCCCTGTACATCATACTTTTCCTGTTAACAAGAAAGTCGTGCCAGTCATCTATCTAACTGTGTTCAGAAAATTTTGAATTAAAATAACGTGATTTCCGGTCTAAACCCTAAGCTCATACATAGTAAATCGTGGCACTTGACCTTAAGATTTCCATATGTGGTCTTGACATTTATCTGTATAACTCCGTCCTCGAGATTAAGAAAGGACAGAAACAAGTTTGTACTTTAATTAATTTATAAATAATTAAAGTTTGTCTTTTAATTTATAATGCTATCAAACATAAGTTACTTATTCATTATATAATTACTGTTATGTTTATCTTTAATAATTATTTAATAAATATATATTAATTTATATTCATTTCTTTGCAGTCTCATAAATTATTCATTTATTTTGGACTGGCTGTTTTAGATATTATGGTCTTAATACTTGTAGCTTATAAATATAAATATAGAAACTATGTTATACTATCTAAAACTCCGTCAACGAATGAAGATATTGTAAATTAATATTCAATCAATGTACAGTACTGTAATTCATTTCATAAGTCACTATTTAAACTGTTTTCGAATAGAATATTTAATTATAAATAGCTTATAAAATTTTACTGTCATTTATTTTGGATTATTTTACATGAATAAAAGTTTTATTAATAATATTCATTAGAATTCTACTTTTAGTAAGTTGTTTACAATGTTTAAAAGTATTGAAAGTATTATTTTAATAATTCCGCGATTCTAAAAATATTTCTATATCTAATTAAAGTATATACAACGTGTATACACAGTATATTTGGCATTCTGTTTTCATTCATTCACAAAATCAGCCATTTTTTTCTTTGGAAGCGCGAAAAATGAAACGGCGATTGAAACTTGCTTGGTCAATCGTGCATTAAGCACGTCATCGTGCTTAACGTGCATAAGCGCTGCACGCTAAACGCGAACCGATTTAGATAAATGACCGACACGGCTCTGTTGTTAAAGGAAAAATATGACGTACAGGGGCCATCACTTCTAAAAAAATTGAGAACATTGTGACTGACAAAAAGTTGCAGCTTGGCATTGTCACATTGCCAGGCTGTAACTTTTACGATTAATTATTGTGGCGATGGCACAATAAGTAATCGCTGGTTAGAATTAGTTTGGTTTATTTGGTTACGAGAACGCGACAAGCGAGCAATCTGACGAGACATTTATAGGAAGCTAGCTCCAAATTAGGTGTTACTAACGTAAAGAATACCCAAAAAGTTTTACGTTGCCAGCCCGTTGGCCATACCCAGGGGTGGATCTACATAGGGACTAATAGGGCTTAAACCCTGGGCCCTTAAGAGTCAAAAAAAATAGTTGTTTCCTGTACTTGGAATGCAATTTGAAAAAATTACAGACATAAATTTCCACTGTCATCCATCTGTCTGTCGAACTTTAATCTCCAGGACAGTTTCACATAGATGAAAGTTGAGACGAGATATCGAAAACTTAAGAGAAGAAGACTCTAAGTGTATACAAACTTCTGTTCGTGAATGGAAGTCATGTAAATCGAATTTAAAAATTTTCCCTTGAATGGAGTTACATAAATAAATGGCACGACTCTATTGTTAACAGGAAAAGTATGAAGCACAGGGGCAAGACACTACAAATTTGAGGTGGGGAAGATATATTTTATATTAAATAAATTAAGAATATACAGTAGACCCCCCTATAACGCTTAGATACGTTCCACGCTAACCGAAAATTACGTTGTAGGAATGATTAAATACATGAGCCAATCGCTATAATTGCCACCAACTGTACGCTACAGGAAGAANGTAATTAAGTGAATAATGATATTCTTTTATGTAAGGATTGTATCAATATTTAGTTAATTATTTTGTTACATTTTTGCCAATGGATTGCACTAAGTGAAACTTAGCAAATGAAATGTAGATAGAAATTACAGTAATTGATTTACATAAATTCAATAGTTATTTTGAAATGGGATTACGAAATTATATAAGTTGGAAATATATAAACGTTACTGCCAAATTTTGTAGCAATTGTTCGAACGGCCTAGGAATGTATAGCGAACAAACAAAGAAACATCTTCATTATTATTTATTATAAAATGACTAAACTTTCAGAGTAAATATGAGTTTTTCATAAAAATAATTCAAAAATTTTAGTAAAGATAAAATCGTAGAAGTCAAACAAACAGTATTGCTGGTAAGTGATTCTTACTTTACACTTCATTTTTTCCGATGCTTCAAGTTCTTGTATATAAGTCTGAATCATTTTTTAAAGGACATTTATTATGATTGTGATAGTGGGAAATATTCCCTGCCATTTGATGCAGCAATTGATAGAGCACGAAATTTACATCGTAGGGAATATTCAAACATTTTTCGGAAAAGCTTACGAAAGATTAATAATAAAGTACAAAAAAAATGTGGAAAAAATAAATCAAATACAATAACCTAGCAATTAATTAATATCCGCGTAAATGTTATTTCATTAATTTGCTGCTGTAAATTGGAAAGCTGAAATTGTTTTTGATGTATGATGAAGAATGTACTTTTGAAAATGGTATGATGAAGAATGTATGTTTTAAAACTCGAAAGACATTAAAACCTTTTTTTACACTCTCTGATTAATGAGCGAATGCAAGTATTCAATTTTCAGAAGCAAGATATAAATGTACAATACAACAGAAAAAGTGAATGAATGAATAAATAAAGAAAGCAAATTTGCAAACACTTAGGTTTACCTTTTCCTACATTTAGTTCAAAGTACTTTAAGCAAATCCCGAACAGCATAGAGTTGAACAGGGAGTTTAAAAATCACACAGAAACACGAAGCATTAAATATGGTGACTCTATCGCTTTATATAGGTATTTATAGAAACAAGCTAAACATAAAATATACTGTAGTAATCAGAGAAAGAAATCGGAAATATTTTGATCTGACCTAGAGAAAGTTTTCCGTTTATGAGAAGTTCTTTCTTAATCTACGATACAATGTTTGGAACGTTCTGCTGCTATTTCATTTTCTGTTTCACTTACAATTACAAGTAGAAACAATAAACAATGAAAAGAAAAACAACATTTAAATGTTGGAAGTGTTAACAATAGGCTCGCTCCTTATGTGAAAAATCGGATAATTGAGTATTTGTTTTTGATCAATCTGATAGTTCCTGATATTTTTTTATAACTGGAGTCAGATAATCACTTCTTCCTTCGGTGTAGGGTAGTATCTTCTCTTTGCAGAAACCAGCAGTAGTCACTCATCACAAATTCATTCCATCTCCCTTGGTAACGCTGCTCAATTTGCAATATGTCCTGGTGAAACCGTTCACCCTGCTCATCACTCAGTGCACCCAAATTTGGTGGGAAAAAGTTCGGATGAGAATGCAAGAAATGAATTTTTAAGGACATCCGGCAGCCTAAATTTTTATAGTTTAGCAGGAGATTTTTTTACTAAAATATCACTATTTTGTGCTTTGTTATTTCCAAGAAAACCATAGACTACATCCTTAAATGATTTTCATGCTTTTAGTCTAGAAAACACTTGGCTTACATGTTTAAATCCTGTTCCTTCTTTATTCAGTGCTTTAACAAAATTTTTTATCAACCCCAATTTTATATATAAAGGGAGCAAAATTATTTGCTGAGGGTTGAATAATGGAACATACTAATATTGTTTTGCCCAGGAGTGAAAGTGTCTCTTTTGGCCAATCTTTAACCGCATAATGTTTACTTGTTGCACGACTGTCCCACAGAGATAAAAAGCAGCAGTATTTTGTAAAGCCACCTTGCAGTCCGTGAAGAAGACCAATAACTTTTAGGTCACCACAGATATGTCGTCAGCAATCTTACTCATATTTGGATGTACCTTTTCTCCGAAACTACTGAATTGTAAAAATGTGAATGTAAAAATGTTGACTTTTGAAATTGAAATTTTAAATTTAAGAATTTTTTTGGCAAAATCTTTACTTTAAATATAAAATTTTTTACAAGTGAAAAATTAAATAAAAAAACGCATTAAAATGTGCACTGTCACAAGAGGAACAAGTCAAAGTTTGTCATTTTTATATGGGCTGGGATTGAACATCTGACTGCCCTTAAAGTCAAATAACTAAGTAACGTGACGTGATAGAGCATTTCTGATCACACTTTCCGTTTCAGCATGAAAAATACATTATAAAAAAATTACTGACGTATCTGTTCATGTAGACTAGTGTTATTATTTATTTCATAAACCTTAGGGTACGTCCTACGTGGCAGCGTCCAGAGACCGCGGTCAGAAAAAATATTCGTATCGTGTGGTATCAGCTAGTTGGGCATGAGCTTTTAGGTTATATCGCCCCGTGGTAAAGTGTGACGTAATTGCTATGTAATAGTAGTTGTACGCGTTTATGATGGTCGTTACGCGAGAATAATGCTTTCCGGAAGGTTTTTTAAGGGTAACTCGCCCCTATTCAGGCATTACAGACGGGGAGACAACACAAAAAACTCCACGTGGCCAGCCCGTCCGGGCCAGGCGCGAACCCACGACTGAACTGTACAGGGAACGGAACCGCTTGGACACTGGTGGGCCAAGAATCTTTGTAAGCGCTTCCAACTCGCGAGTGATCTCTGTCCAGACGGATGCGCGTTGTTTAAAAAATGGCCGCGAAACGACTTTGTCAAAAGCATTAAAATGGTAAATTTGAAAGGTAAATGTTGACACTAACTAGATAAACAACAAATAAAAGGAATTTTCTTAGAATACGTTGAAAAAATTTATTTAAAAAGATCAGAAATTATTAAAATACTTAAAATTATTAATTAACAAATTTAATAAATTTTTGAATAAATCAAAACGATTAATAAAGAAATTATTATAAAACAAGCAATTATTTAATATGACAAGGTCAATGCCGGGTTGCAATTTTTAATCATATTTGTATTTATTTAATTTACAATATATGCTCTCCACCTTAAATCAGTAGTGGCTTTTCCCCTGTACATCATACTTTTCTTTTAACAATAAAGTCGTGCCAGTCATCTAACACCTTTTGGGGGGATAATATTTTGAATTGAAATAACATGTCTTCCGGTTTGCACCGAAAGTTCATGCATAGTTAATCCGGGTTTTCTGTCCGTACGGTTTTCATATTTTGCCTCCCCTTTCATCTATCTAACTTCCTTCTCGTGATTGAGGAAAGATAGACGGACAGACGACAGTGGGAATTTATAGATCTACAACATTTTCAAATTGCAACCCAAATACCAAACGGTCCGAAACACTGTTTCGTTACGAATCCAAAACTGATACAAATAAAGAAATGGCGGGAAAATATAGATTAAAGGCTTCATACAAGTCTTGTGTATTAATAATATCTAAAGTACATCAACTAAATATCAAAATTACTGTAGGGGAAGGTGATGCAAGATGGGGCCATGGGGTAAGACGGAGACATCTGTTTATTTGTGGTTAACTCGCTTTCATCTAGCTGTTATTTGGGGAACTAAAAGTCAACCTCAAAAGGGATCAAGGAACGAGAGAACGTCCGAATCGCTCTCTTTGTTTAAGACACTTTTCCACGTTTCGGCAATACTTCATCTAATTTTACGCCCGCTACAAAGTTTCTACAAAGTAAGCATAATTGCGAACTTTTACATTACCTTTTAGAAGAAGATATTATGGTATTCAAAGTAACCTTTAAGACTGAAATTGTTTAGTTTTGAAATAAAGTTGACCCGTGTTTGCAGTCAGTATAAAAAATGCACGTTGGGGCAAGATGGTGGGAGCAAGACGGCGTACCCCATCTTGCCCCACCATCTTGCCCAAGGTTGGCCATGAATTCTGCTGCTGGCTAGAGACACTGCAATATAGTGCAGCGAACTAGTTTTAAATTCGTTGTCATTGATAATTCTATATCATTTTTTTTTCAAATGTATAAAATAATAAGTTTAAAAATGATCTTTTTATAGAAAATGAAATATTCCACTTTTAAATCATATCTAAATGTAATAAATGTATACAGTACATACTGTATTACTTTATTATTTATGTTTCTACGTTTTATTTTATTTGTGAAAACATTTTTTTAATTTAAATACTATCTTAACAAGAAATAAAATGTGAGATAACAATCGAAATAACAATTTTTTCCGAGAAAAAAATATCGTCTGCTTACAAAATAGCGAAACTGAGCATGCGCGAAGTGACAGTATCGTCTGGTAAAGTAAATACGAGTAAGTTCAAACTTTTATATTTATTTATTCGAAAAATAATAATAAATGTAGCCGCTGTGATAAATGAGCACACTGTTCTTGTGCCAATATTGAAGAAAACGACAGTTTAACCATTTTCATTCGTCCTTCTTGTATATAAAATTAATATTCCCATCTTACCCCGCGGGTGGGGCAAGATGGTGCATTTACGTATAATTTTAAAATATTAAATTTTATTGTTTTTAAAAACGTTTTCCAAAAATTAAAATTTGTATTACATATTACCAAATGTTGTAGTTGCTGAGAATAAAAAAAATTATCGTTCTCATTAAAGTGGTTGACATTCTTATGATTTTTCAAACCTTAACGTCCTCATCTTGCCCCACCTTCCCGTACTTATGTTGAACCTATATGTTAAAGATTTGTTAACTTTACTTATATAATAGTAGCAACGTAACGATTCCCACGTCCTACTTATTACCAAAAATTAACTGCTGCATTAAAGAGGACAAGTGCGCTTTTTTCAATGTCTTTGCCTATATCACTGTATTATCGTAATAAAATCGTTCTCCTTTCTTATCAGCAAAAATTCCTTTAGCTGTACTCATGGATTACAAGTTTTTTTGACGTATATTAGTGGAGTACTTGGGAAGGATCCGGATTCAAATCGCGATAAGCAGGGGCGCCGCTAGCTGTTTGAACGCCCGTGTGCAATACCGATTATGCCGCCCCCTGTTTAACTACGACTACCTACGCTGAGCTTGCCAGAAAGGCTCTTTAGTGTTGTCTCATAAGGGTGTGAAAAAAGAAAAGAAATACTTTACAAAGAAAAACTATTTATTATTACTAAGTTATTTTTGTTTACTTAAGTGTAAAACCATATAAATATTTATCTACAGAAATTGAACTCTTCTTGCCTTTATGTTTGCGAAATCTGCTATCAATTTTCTTGTATCCAAGCTGTCTAAGATTTCGTGTTCGATTGAAACTATAGCTAAATTACTTAGTCTTTGCTGGTGCATTGTTGATCTTAAATAGTTTTTTTTATAATTTTTAACTTTGAAAAGGACCTATCACCAAATGCAACTGAAACCGGCAATGTAAGTAATATTCTTAGTGCTATTGCTGTGTTCGGAAATGTTGAAATTAAGTCATTAGTAAAAACTTATTGTAATAGGGTTTGTGGATGATTAGACTGGTTTTCTGGAAAATGCAGCTTTAAAGCACGACGGATCTTGCTTTATATACCCCCACCAAATGGGTAGTCCCACCCATACAAAAAAGGCTTCGAATGGTCCACAATGTTCCAGAACATTCCACAACATTCGAGAGTGTTTTGGAATGTTCCACAATGATCTGGGATGTTTCGAGATGTTCCTGAACGTTCCAGAACATCCTGGATCATTCTGGAATGTTGTGGAATGCTCTCGAATACTCTCGAATGTTCTGGACTGTTCTAGAAATTTCTAGAGGGCGAAACTTCCAGCCCTTATATCTTCAACAACACGCTCTTCAGGTAAAAACGGGAACCTTCCTCATGGATGGAGGATACTGGGCTACCACACCATATAACTTCCTTGATCGTACCGGGACTAGTTTTTTAGTTTTAGCGGCACGCACATTGTAAACTTACTTTTATAATATATGATGATGATGATTGATTGATTGATTGATCATAACGACTAGCGCCATCTACTTTGAAAAAAAGGTTTTGATGCTGAAACGAGATATCTCGGGTCAACCGGTCAAGGCCAGCCAGAGATATGTCGGGAATAACACGTTACAGGTAAATGGGTTTTTTCAATGTTCGTTTGTCAAAATTCAATTTCTCATTTCGAACTTCCCAAAGTACGCGTTTGTCAAAATTCGATTTCACAACGTTCGCATTTCAAATTTTCCAACCCCCTCCTTCCCATCAACAGTGGGACACTACAAAAGTTTCTGTTAATAGTAAGAGCAACACATGCGCAAATCTCGCACTACTGCCTGTTTGCAGAGGAGTGTCGCCATTTTAAATTTTATTTTGACTCGGTTCTCGGCCCCCTGAGTACCTACAAGTCTGGACTTTTTATGCGCGCGTGATTTGGACACGTAATACTCTGTGCCAAATTGCAATTCCTGACATGTACTCCTTCATACCTCTAAGCTGGTTATCCAGCAGGCAGTACGAGTTTATAAACAAGACATAGTCTTGTCAATAAACGGCTCGGATTATTGCCATTTCTTCAACAAAATCAAGATAATGCAAGCGTCTATTCTATGTCGCTGTGGTTCTGTGTGTGTGTCTATTCAGTCGCTGTGGTTTCAAAATAACGAGACTAAGGTTCTGGATTGGCTGCATGCTCCGAGACGTCAATTCTGTGGCAAATCTATGAAAAATTCTTGTGAGAAAACTGTATGGAGATAACCATTCTTGTACAGTACATCAGTTGAACACCTATAAACGCGATGTTGCAGACTATGAAGTGGTGAGTGTGAAAATCTTACAAAATCTTGTTTACAGCATGTCCAACTCTGTTATATATAACAGAGGGAAAATACGGCAATAATTCAATAGCTGACTCACCAAAAAAAATTTAGTTTTGTATTCAAGGATCTTGAAACGTCGAGAAACGCAAAAACTTTCGGGGTTTTTTCTGTATATATGGATGTTAGTGTGTTCGTGTGTGGGGTCACAAATTTGGCCACCCACTTTAACTTTATGCTTTTTGTCGGAAATTTCTGAAATTTTGAAAAGAGATGTGTATGTTAAAGGGAATGATGTCAGTAAATTTCGGCAGTTAAAGATCGAGGAGGGTCATATATCATAACTCGAGAAGGGTCGGATTAATGACGATTTTACTCGTTATTAGCATTTTAATTTCTTATAAAACTAGTCTTGCCCTCAAAATTTAGCTTTTTACCATTTTATAATAATAACATAAAGAGATTTTTAAATAAAATCTCATACAAATGATGCAACACACAATTTTTACTTTTGCTGGGAAAGTTACGCAACTTAATATTTTTCTAATGTTCAATTATATTTAGAAGTTTCTGTATTTGTGTAAATGTAAAAACGCATTTACAAATACTGTAATTTAATAATGTAATGTAATAATATAAATACTGTATATGTAAGGTATTTATAAATACTGTAAATCTTCAAATTTTCGTATCTTGTATTGAACTATTTCGGTAACAAATTGGCTCATCACATAAATGAGTAAAATTGTATTATTATTTTAAATATATACATAATATGTGATAAAAATTATCATTAGATAAGAGCTCATAAAAATATAAACTAGCACAGATCCACAACCTTTATCACATTCATAATGCAGCAACTCGAAAGAGCAAAATCAGACGAAGGTTGGTGACATAAATTTCTTATTGTTACTAATAATAATAATTTAATGTATTTGAAGCATTTTTCGTATAATTTTAAAACATTATTTTTAGTTACTCCTTTGTTACCTTGTAAAGAAACAGTTACAACACAGGTGAGTAGGCCCATACATTAATAATAATTATGGAATGTTATGTTCAAATTAATCATAAATGACACAATCTGGTTCTAATTAAAGTTCTTAATTCATTTTTTTTATCTATAGAAAGAAAAATCTTCGTTTAAAGCAGTATTTAATATCTTACTAAACGAGTTTTGCCAGAGGTTTTCTTATTTCAGTTTACAAAGTATGATTTCTTTCATTAACTATAGTTATTTCTTAATTATGAATTATTTGTGATAACTAATTTATGTTCGGTTACGTTTGATAATTACAGAACAATTATGTTCACCGAAATTAATTTAATTGTAAAACAGTAAATTTATTTAAAATTAAAAAAACAGAAACATATAAAATACATTTACTGTTTAAAGTCGTCTTTCTTGTCATATTCACTATTTGATGGAATTATAGCAGGAATGTTTATTTATTAGTTATTTACTTCGTTAATTTAAATTAATCTCGTATAACGTTTATTAAAATTAGAAATAATTCAAAAGATCTACTATTAGATCGACATGTATGACTTCATCTTTATCTAGTAGAAGGTTACAAAGATTATGCATTGAAACCTTCTAAAAGAATCTTCAATTTAAAATTGTTGCACTTCGTGTATTTTCTGCATACTTTTTACTTCACATACAAATAGAGGAACGTTAAAATATACACGAAGACATTAATTTTATAATTAATTATTAAAGTATTACTGTCAAAATTAGAAACCCTTATAAATCCCCCACATTCTGATTAATCGTCCCATCACTATTATTTATAAAATTATTAGGTAATAATTTTATAAATAGATCTTATCTGTGTTGTCGCAATATGAAAAGCATTCATAAAGGTATGATAGTATGTGATTAGTAAAACATATACTAGTAATATTTATGATTTTGAAATTATAAATAACATTATTAAAATGTAATTATGGCATACACCTAACCAACGCTTGAAATACAGTAAAATTTTACTGGATATTGTAATTGTTGTGACATTTCGGCGATACGCAATGAAAGATTTACAACGTCGTTTTTGGTATAGAGCCGGGGTGGCTAAGCTCCTTGATAGTCCGAGCCATTTTTCAAAATTTGAAATTTTTCGCGAGCCTCAATTAAATACGTATTAAAAAGGTATGCAAAAAATTCCAGATTACAAATTATATCCGTAGCAAGAGTGATACAAATTGTTTCCTCCAGAACACGATGTCAACTGTCCATTGCAATGACAGTTTACAAATTCAAAATCGATCTGGAGTCGGTCGATAACGGACGATTACGCCACTGTTTATGTTCGTTCGCGCAGTTTTCGATGAGTCATATCATTCTTAACTTGGACGGAAATGAAATTTGTTACAACGTTGCACTTAGTCTTTCATATTTGTTGTTAGTAATTTAAAAGACATTTTGAAACATACAAACGATAATAATTTTTTAAAATATAATAACACAAAAATGAAAAGGGATCTCGGGTACATTTATCGAGAGCCACAAATAATCTTTCAAAGAGCCGCATGTGGCTCGCGAGCCGCAGGTTGGCCACCCCTGGTATAGAGAGAGAAATCAGAAATGTCTCTTACAGGAAGAAGGAAGAAGTTATTTATTAACTTGTAGCGTAACTGGTTACATTATTTTAAAATAAGTGTTCAAAGTTACATTCGCTTAGTGTGGAACAAGCGGCTGCCCGTAGCAGAACACTCATTTGTAACTTTGCAGCATGTTAGGTGTTATGGTACTGATGGCCGCGTGCATGGCAGCCACTAGGAATTGCTGAAAGTCAACTGACTGTCTATAAAGAAATGCTTTGGGAACTCCCATAAGAAGTCTACAGGATTTAAATTCGGTGATCAAGCAAGCTGTGTGACCGGATCACCACAGGAAGCCTTAAAGAATAATTTGTTTGATGTCTTAAGGGCTAAAATTTCGAATGACTGAAAGTGACGTCATAAACAGTTTGACGCGAATATCGTGGAGTCTCATATCAAATCGAAAAAAAGATAATACTTTTCCCGGTTGGTTTTAGACAAGAAATCCCGTGGTACGATTAATCAATAATCAATAATCCTGTACGATTATTGTGCGGTCGGTTCTGTTCACCCTATATATATATTTTTTTTTTCATTGTTAACTTTCTCCGTCCTATGCGCATTAAGAGGCCATTTTAAATATCCATTGTGGTACCACACAATGTAGCTGCAGGGGTTATAAAAGACGGGGCCCGACATACCCATAAAAAATTAAACCATGGAATTGCGACCGTGCCAGCGAGAGAAAAACCCATTAAGGATTTTTCTCGCGCTGGATTCGATTTCGGCTCCACCAAAGCTGTAGGTTGACGCTTTAAATTGGCCCATTCATTCAACCGTCATTTGTTGGCAAAATGTATGGGATAAAAACATTTGCCAAAATTTCTGAACATTTTATGTTTTATTTTGTATTCAAGTTCATAACATAAAAATAACTTTTATTTTCAATTACATAAATGTTCGTAATTAAACAAACGTTACCAATATTTACACAAACGAGATAAATAATGATAATAACATTGATGTTAAATTATTTTATCTCTTACTTCTTGTTGACCGATAGCAATAAAAAGATAACGTTGATAATTTTCAAAATAACATGTTATCCCAGTTAAATGGCCTAATTTCTTCATTTCAAAACTTTTATCTGTTTAATTGATTATATAAAGAAACATAACACGAATCCAGCAAATATTTATTGTGACATTGTCGCAATGCTGGGCAGCAAATTTTTTGCCACATTGTTAATTTATTTAATTTAAAATATATGCTCTCCATCTCTAATTAGTATTGTAATGTCTTGTCCTTGTACATCATATTTTCCCGCTAGCAATGGAGCAGTGCCGGTCATCTACCTAACTCCTTTCAGGGATAAATTTTTGTATTGAAATAACGTTCCTAATGTTCTTGAAAGCATGATTTTTAGAAATTTCAGATTTAAATCTATAAATTTTTCGTTTCATATGTGATTGACGATATAGAAACACTGTTCGACAATACATTAATCTACTATTAATTGAAAATATAGGAAATATAAAATTCGTAGCACTAGACCTTGGTTCAGCATTGTTTAAAGTTTCTACACGTAATATATCTGCATATGAATAACTTTTTAATTCATTAATTTGATTTGAATATCAGTTTCCTATCGAAGATCTATCTCATTAATCAGTATAAGATATTGGTTGATTGTTGACTGTGAATGGGAATCTGCTTGTGGAATGTAACGAAGAGTAATACGTGGCAGAAATTTCGATAATATTAATTCTGAGATTTCTTTTCTCCAGTTTCTTAAAATCATGTAGTATAAATAGATCATTATTAATGAGTTTAATATAGTTGGCATATAAGTTTGTTGTTAAGTTTGTTTATGGAGCTACGTTGCTGGCCTAATAAAATGCAACATTATGATGGACTATAGATACTGCAACAATTAAAGCTTTCTTCGTGGTGTTGCATTTTGTTTGGCCAGCAGTGTATTTGTATTTGCAATAAGATAGCCCATCAGCAACTGAATGGCTATAACTGCAGAAAATATTTATTTGATGTTTTAAGTTAGATAGTAAAATATATTGTTTTAAAAATAAATTAAAATTCGGGCTTAAAATTTGAATATTGAGTTGACTAACATCATTTTGCATTTTTGTTAGGTTAAAATCTTCACGTTCAATGACTAAGAAATTTCTAGACACTTTTAAATACTGTACAGAGTGAATCAGAAAGATGACTACATGTTTATTCTTACGTTATTCTGACACTGAGTGAAACTAGTGAAACATGATATTGATATCATGTTTCACTAGTTTTAGCAGTCCAGTGGTTTTCATAATGAATTTCCGTTTGTTATAAATATAACTTGCTGGTTTACGCTTAATGCCACCTTCTCTTTGATTGTTGAGTTGCCTATATTTACGAAAAATCAAATTTTTTTTAGTATACTAAAAATGTCATAAGCAAAATATAATAGCATCTACGTCCTATATATAGAAGTATTCCTGCCACGTTTCAAAATTCTTGGTCCTTGGGCGCCTGCAAACTGCAACCTCCACACACATAATTATATATCGCTACATGCAGAATGTTGATCCTGTTTTTTATTTGTTTATATGTTTTTGGAACCAATAATTGAATAGTAATACGGGAAGTCAAAATTTAATAAATTTCTTCAATACCTCTTCTCTGTTACTTTAACAGTCAGGAAAATAATATTGTATAATTATAATTTATGTTTGTATTTTATTTAGGTACTCTTATTTTATATTTGACACAAGAACTCTTATATAAGGATGACATCGCGACGATTATATTTCACACTTACCTAATGGTATGCTTTTTTACACCATTATTTGGCGGATTAATATCTGACTTATTGTTGGGAACATTCAAGTATGTGTTTAATTTTATGTTCTATAACGAATATTTTAATGTAATATTGTACTAACTTAAGTAAAGATTACCTCAAGTACTTTAAGTAGCATTTATTTATTTTGCTGTAATCACAGCTTTTGATTTTTTAATTAATCAAATTTATAATGAATTTATATTTAATTTAACAGAACAATACTCTACTTGTCCCTGATTTACATTGGAGGAAATATATTAATTACCATAGCTTCTATTCCAAATTTTATACCTATGCGGTATGATCATTTTTATAAAACTTTAATATTGCATATATATTTAAGATATCAATATATCTCAACTTTAATAAAAACTTTCCTTTTTTGTTTGTAAAGGTATAATATAAGTTAATTAAGTTAGAGTACAAAATTTTCTTCTAATAGCATTAATTAATAATAAACTTAGATTAAAATAAAATCGAATTGCAAGAAAATTCTGTACTTTTCTCTCTTCGAGCAGTACAGTAAGCATGATCGGTCTAGTTATAATATCTACTACAATAGGAGGAATTAAACCTTGTTCAACTACTTTTGGAGGAGATCAATTTCAAATTTCTCAGGTACATTTTATACTTTAATTAATATTATCATTTCATTATATTGTATTTTTTAAAATGTTACTCAGCGTGTTTGCAAGATAAAATATACTTTTGATATTTTTCATATTTTAATTTGCCTTTTATATTTAAAATAATTTATATCTGTTATTTCTAATTTATCTTATAGTGTAGTATAACTTCATTGTAAAATTTATTTTGACCTAAATCAATTAATGTTTAAAATGAAATAAATACTTCTTCCTTGCTATCGAACTTTTTTATTATATTCAACATAATTTTTGTTACAAGATACACATTAGTAACAAATTCATTACAGTAAAATCTCGTTAAATCAAAGTTTAAGGAATAGAAAACGCCTCAGAATGATTATAAAGTTTATGGGCTTTTGAATGCATTGTCAAGAGGCTCTCGTGTATTCAAATGAGAACGCCAGTAACATTCTGTATCAGTAAAAAATATCCATACGAGGTTGTAATGGCATGATGTGTTTGAATTGAGCCATAATGATTATTTAACTTAATTGTCTCTATTTAGTGTGAATAGAGACAATGAAGATTAATGGAGGACTTATCAAAGGGCAGAGAGTATACAGAAAAATACGTTTGACTTAATAAGTTAGAATTATATGAAAAAATACTACATGCTATGTCCGGACTGGTAAAGAGCTTCGTGTTAACGCAATTCGACTTAGCAAAATTTTTCAGTATTTGTTAAAACGAAGAAATTATTCTTTTAAATAATTTTCAAATTGTACAAAAATGAAAAAACTGACAGATAAACATTTTAAAAAATCCAGTATCAAGTTGCGTAATTATCTCTGGATGTTAAAAAATAACTTTTACAGTATATTTTGAATTATGATAAATAAAATTGTGTGTCGCGCCATCTGTTATCACATTTTGTTATTAAATATGTATTATAAAATGTCAATAAGCTTAATTTTGAGGCAGTGATGAGATTCATAAAAAATTGTAAATGCTAACAATGAATAACATCATTAAGCCTGACTCCTCTCGAGATACGACATATGACAGCCTTTTATCTTCTCGCTCCCTCGACATTTAACTATTAAAATTTAATAGCAACAATTTCTCTTATACACAAGCTAACACANTATTTTAATAATTTTTTTAATTTATATTATACTTAGAAGAGATAAGATTAAATTACGACAGTATATTTTTATGAAAATTATTAGCTAAATGTTTCAATAATTCATTCGCATTTACGTTAATTAAATACTATTAATTATTTGTTTCGTCTTTTTATTCGGGTCAATTATTATAGACAGTGGCGCGTGTGGTGGCCGCAAATTGGCAATGCAATTGTCTATTCACACGAACGGAAGTTGCATTTTTTAGAAAAATATGTAGTCTAATGATGAGTTTTAAAAGTGCGATTCTGATTTTGTATGAACATACAAAATCAGAATCGCACTTTTTATTACGGAGGTTGAGACAAGAGGACATATTTATTACGGAGGTTGAGAAAGGCCACGTATTCGACAGACTTCATTCTTCAAAAAATACATATATTGTAAGGTCTCTTTTTATGCGGATTATTCTTATGCGATTTTGAAGTTGTGCGGTTTGTATTTCATCCAAAAATTTCTTGGACAAACATACATATAGGCTTGTTTAAGAAGCCCTCGTATAGACCGTCTCCAAAAATCGTGGAACACTCAAAGCTCACTCCATTTGTTTCACTGTCATATAACGTTTATGGATGTAAAGGACAGCTAGATCTACCTTAATCGCTTTAGTTCCAAGCAATTTTTTATATAAATGTAATTAATGAAAACTGAAAAAAACGAAAGAAATGCGTTAATTTTGAAGAAAAAGCTTCAAAGTTTAACTTCCTTTGTCTCGCCCTTCTGTGAAATTTCACACCGATGAGTCATTATTTACACAGCTGGAGTTGGATTTCCCGGAATTCCTCATATACGTGTGGGGAGGACAAGGGTTTAAATAGGGTGACTATGACCGACACGTATATTTTTAAATATTTTNTTAATTTGCCTTTTATATTTAAAATAATTTATATCTGTTATTTCTAATTTATCTTATAGTGTAGTATAACTTCATTGTAAAATTTATTTTGACCTAAATCAATTAATGTTTAAAATGAAATAAATACTTCTTCCTTGCTATCGAACTTTTTTATTATATTCAACATAATTTTTGTTACAAGATACACATTAGTAACAAATTCATTACAGTAAAATCTCGTGAAATCAAAGTTTAAGGAATAGAAAAAGCCTCAGAATGATTATAAAGTTTATGGGCTTTTGAATGCATTGTCAAGAGTCTCTCGTGTATTCCAATGAGAACGCCAGTAACATTCTGCATCGGTAAAAAATATCCATACGAGGTTGTAATGGCATCATGTGTTTGAATTGAGCCATAATGATTATTTAACTTAATTGTCTCTATTTAGTGTGAATAGAGACAATGAAGATTAATGGAGGACTTATCAAAGGGCAGAGAGTATACAGAAAAATACGTTTGACATAACAAGTCAGAATTATATGAAAAAATACTACATGCTATGTCCGGACTGGTAGAGAGCTTCGTGTTAACGCAATTCGACTTAGCAAAATTTTTCAGTATTTGTTAAAACGAAGAAATTATTCTTTTAAATAATTTTCAAATTGTACAAAAATGAAAAAACTGACAGATAAACATTTTAAAAAATCCAGTATCAAGTTGCGTAATTATCTCTGGATGTTAAAAAATAACTTTTACAGTATATTTTGAATTATGATAAATAAAATTGTGTGTCGCGCCATCTGTTATCACATTTTGTTATTAAATATGTATTATAAAATGTCAATAAGCTTAATTTTGAGGCAGTGATGAGATTCATAAAAAATTGTAAATGCTAACAATGAATAACATCATTAAGCCTGACTCCTCTCGAGATACGACATATGACAGCCTTTTATCTTCTCGCTCCCTCGACATTTAACTATTAAAATTTAATAGCAACAATTTCTCTTATACACAGGCTAACACACAAACATAGGCATTCATGAAGTTTTTTTTTTACTTTTCGAGTTTTCGGGGTCTGAAAACATGTACATTTGCAAAAAAAATAGGTGAAATTTGGCACAATTCCAATACTCTTTTGTATATACCGGTACATACAAAACAGCCAGGAAAGTAAGGTAAGACCAAAAACATATATATGTTACCGCTAAAGCTCGAAATCCGTTAATGTGCACATTACCTGGCTAATTTGCACATTAACTAGGATGATCCGTTAAAGTTGCTAAAATTGTTTTATTTCTCAAATTACCTAGGTAATGTGCAGAGTATCTAGGTAATCTGCACATTACCTACTAGGCACTCGGTAAAGTGAAAATAAGATTTTCGCTGGAACAACAGCAACGTTTCTGTACGCTTAAATTAACATAATGTTGTTTATTTAATTTTCAATATCTAAAGAATCAAGTTAATACAATCAAACAATCAACAAATTAGTTGATTGAATCAATCATCAATCAATTAAAAAACTTTAATACGAAAATCAAACAGTTAAAATATTATTACTATTAGGGAAATGAATTTGCAAAACATATGATAAAATTGTACTTACTTATTAGTGCAATCTAAAGATTGGTGACACTTTGAATTACGTAGCAATTGGTTTTTGCGACAAGCACGC